CCATAGGCAGAATGCATAAGCCATAGCGCATGCGCACATAAAATTACTAGAGCCGTGGTGGAATGACATTGCGCATGCGTTATGGCTTATGTATTCTGCCTATGGTTTCTGCAATTTTATGTGCTTCCACCTTAAGACACCGTTTCGAACGTTCTCAGGTATATAGCAGTAAACCACATTTTGAGTGTGCCATCACCAAAAATGAACACCCCCATAGAAGAGAACTATTGTTACACGACGATGGAGGTGGTTAGCTTCAGCTACACGTGGACGATAAATAACTTCAAGCTTTTCTACGATATAAAGAAGGATGAGATTATATCAACCACGTTCTCATCACAAGGCAATGACGAATCAAAATGGCACCTGAACATACGTCTCAACGAAACGGAAGAGGACAAAGATTATACAGGGTGCTACGCAAGACTTTGACGTCCGGTCATGGGAAGGTAGAGGGTAAAGTCACTAGATAAACAAAGTACCGCAATTAACCGCCATATTGAGTCCAAACACGCGGCTCATTCAAATTATTTATTTGTATAAATGTATTTTGTGAATAAAAAAGAAAACCGTAAATTATAGAAATAAGTATTTTTATTTATTATGCTTTGGTTTGCTTACATATGCTTTCATAGCAACACTCCTACTACTGTTAACAGTTTTTATTTCATTAATAGTTTTCTTTTTCAGGGAAAAATGGATGCGTGCTATAACAAATGTTTTTATAAGTTTATAAATAATGTTGTGGCACGATGGAATAAAGTTTGCAGGATATTGTTGTAAAAACATTTGCACAAACTGTATAACTTTTAATTCATTTAAAATTAGCTTGGTTTCGTTTTTCCTAAATAATAACTCACATTTATATATAATGTTATAAATATCCATAGTTGGAAATGTTAAAATATTTTCCTTATACTCTCTAAGTCTAGAGAAAGAACATATATTGTTATTCAAATCGTTTGCACAATTTGTTACAACAGCATTAAAACAATGATCGCACACTTTAAAATTTTTCTTAATCTTATATAGTAATGCACCTGTTAAATGATACAAAGCTGTCTGGATTACATCGCTTAAATCTGTCTCATTTCCAAGTAATGATTCATATATTCCTGTATCCCATAAATCTTCAATACTCTGCTGGGATTGTACTTCTGAAGAGGTATTTTTTAAATCACAATTTTTTATCTCCTTACAATATTGAATAATATGATCTGAATCAACAGTCGAGTAATTACCACGATTAATATTAGCTTTAAACTGTGATAGACAAACAAGTCTTAACGTATATTTGAATTCACGTGCATCTGGAACAGATTTTCTTCCTCGGATGATAGAAAATAGATTCTCTAAGGCATCTTGAGTGAATCTTCCTAATAATAAAAACTTAAAGTTTTCTTTCTCTAAATATTCAGCTTGCAAATCAAGAGCAGTTTGAGTGCAAAGTATTAAGCCACTTTGAAATGGTTTCCATTTTCCATCTCCGACTGTTATTCCTTTAATAATCTTGATAAAATCTTTTAAAAATATTATGTTATCTTTGTACACATTTTCATCAATATGTGATAATGCAAGTTTTATATATCGACTGGTCATAATTTTAAACCATTTATACATAATTGTAAGAAACCAGGCAGTGGTTTTATGTATATTTTCAATACGTCCATTGCCTATGTGATATGAAATAGCTGCTGCAACATTATTGTTTAATAATGCTATACTTAAGGAGACATTCATTTTATCGAAATGAGACGGATTAATAGCGTTTTCTTTTAGATGTGGACACAGCTTCAATGAATCATTTTTTTCTAAATTATGTACTTCGCGAATAGGTTTCATTGATATTTCGTTATGTGGTAAGTTATATAGTCTGACAAGTGTATCGTCCAAATAAAATTTGTTGCCTGCTGTTAACGAGCACGCAACGTTTTTATACACGTGGACTGAATCTGGCATAATAAATAATTTTTCCTCATTAGAGCATGGATGTGTAGTATAATTATTGATTTTAGAATGTTTACCAACTGTGATATTCATGATTCTCCACCAACTCCTATTTTGTGGTCCCATATCGGAAATGACTGCTTTTATTTTTATGCCAATATCATTTGCTTTTTGAATAATTGCTGTAATTATTTGAACTATTTCTTGTGAGCAAAATGAATTTGCTGTAAATTCATATGCTATTGTTTGTTTCCACTTTGAGGAAATGCCGCACAGCATGAAAACAAGAGCATGAGTTGCTTGTTGTTGAGAACTGTCAAATCCACCTGATAGTTTTATTGTTGGCCGTCCCACAACTGAAGCAATGGAATGATCGTATTGTAAGCCAGGTTTTATTGACATTTCGTCGAGGAGAAGTACTGCATGCTTTTCTTCACTGTTGAACGTTTGTACCTACAATGAAATTAGAAAGCACTGAAAGCAAATAATTAAAAATAAATTTAAAGGAATGAAGGACTAAGAGTTGTGACAGGGTGTTAGTGTCTAAATATTTCATATTTTAAAATTTATTGCAAAAAATATTACCTCAACCAGGGTTAAAGTGAGATTATAGTTACTATAAATAAGAGTAAAATAAGAAAAACTAATACAACGGATTTGGGGGAATCTTATTGTCGCCAGTGATAATTAAAAAACGGAGGAGGTAGTTTTCCAAGGTGATCTTTATTTAGTTCACTAGTGAACTAAATAAAGATCACCTTTTTGCCAGTTTGGTCGACTCCTTGGAAAACTACCTCCTCCGTTTTTTAAAAACTAATACATTTTTAACTTATAATACTAACTTTTAGTTTTAATATATGCAGGAATTCTTCTAAAATACCTGGCTTACATTTCAAGCCTTGTATGTGATGTTGTATAGTCCGAATGCTTGGATAAGGCAAATTTTGTCGACGCATTTCTTCATAGCCCTTTTGTCCACAGGCTACATATAATTTCAACGCTTTGTTAATAGTTTTGATAGACCACGGTGTTCCTCTTTGTGTGTTTTTTGCGATAAAATTTATTTGATCTTTTGTAAATACTTTTTCAAAATTTCTATCTTTTCGTTGCAACTTTCTTTTTAATTGACTGCACATCCGCAATGTCTTTCTTAACGTTCTCTGTAAGCATTTAATTTGTTCTTTTTCACTGATTGTATTTGATGCAGTGTCTCTTGATATCTCCATATTGGTTGCTTCAGCATGCGTTATTCCAGTATGAGTTGCTTCAACATTGATTGTTTCAGTATAGTCATCTACACATATTAATTTCTATTCAAGTAAATTGCATTATTACTATAATACATGAAATTGTACCCTGGTGAAAATAAAAATTAAAGCGTAAATCGAATGTAAGGGGAGAGTGACAGAAGCGTAAACGAAATGTGTAGGAAGCGTAATTTGGAACAGCGAAGCGTAAAAGAAGCGTTTGAAGTTTCTTTTACACTTCGCTATTCCAAATTACGCTTCCTACACATTTCGTTTACGCTTCTGTCACTCTCCCCTTATATTCGATGTACGCTCCAATTTCTATTTTTACCAGGGTAAGAAAACAACTGAAGTAATCTGCATCGCTTTCTTATATGAGTATTATTATATTCTATAAAACTTACGAGATTCCGAATCCTGGATAGGATTGGAATATTTAGCCTTTTCAACCTTTCTAGCTTTATCTCTCTTTTCCTTCATTTCTTTCTCTTTGTGCTTCTTTAATAAATTAGGTATCGCATTTGGGCGGAGCAGTTTTTTTCCATCTTGTCGACGTTGTTCATATTGACTCTCATCAAAGTGTACCTGTAATATTTATTATTATTTATTGTTGATACAATGCAATACACAATGTTGCACACATTATTATAACTTAAGTATACCTCACAAATAGCAGCATTTGCTGACAATGTATTTTTGTCAATTAATTTTAGCCATTCTTGACGTCTTCTGTTCTTTGCGCCTGTTGGAATGCGAAATAAACGAAAACCTTTCTCACTTCGGTTTCTGCAACCTTCCACACAACAACCTGGCATATTTTTCGATATTGTTTGTTGTCACGAACGCTTCTCAAGATGCACACAATTGCAGGTTAGAAGATGACACTTAAAGTGTATATACGTTACAAAAGTGCGTACTATGTACACTTTTCGACGCCATTTTGAGTCCAAATCCTTATACATTGAGTCTTATGTAGTGACTTTAGTAGAGGGGACTAAGACAAACAGAAAAGTATTGTACTATTTTGCGCTTGGACGAATAGTTATCGAGATACGAAATTTTAAAAATCGCCGTATTAGCCCAACCTACTGGCGAATGTAAGCGCGCGGTGAGGTGACCGGCCTAGCGGCCCCGCTCGAGGCGGTGTTCGGCGAGGAATAGAATGGCGGTGCGGGGCGAGGAGTAGGGAGGCGAGGCGCGCCGCTGCCCGTCCGCCGCTTACGCGACCGCTCGCACGTCTCCCCGCGCGGGGACCGCTAGGCCGCCCTCTCACTGCGCGCTTACATTC